GACAAACGATTAACCTAAATCGATTCGATAAACAAAAAATTGAAGATTTATTAAAATTAGACGTATCGGTACGATAGGAAATATTTTTGGTGTGGCTACCATTTTTGCTCTCCAAAAAAGCATTTTTCTGCAATTAAAAAATTTGCACGAAAGAATGACACAACCATACCATACAAATCGAAAATGGCAGACTGAGCTCAAGTCAATCTTCCGAGAGCTTATTGTTAACACGCGTATTAACCACTTCTACTGTAGTTATAGTTCTGTGTTTAACCCGGTTCTGGCCAAATACTAATATCGTGAGAAACTACAGCATTTATACAGAGCCAACGCCTTTTCATTGCCATGACTTCCAAAACTATTCACTTTTATTAGTCATACATTCTATTTGTTACTTTTAAGTGATTCAATGTAATAATAATTGTGGTGTTAGTTTTAATGGATCCTATGTAAATAAGCTGTCATGACAGTGAACAAAGTTTTTATCTACCTATCTAGATTTCCTGGCTGACTTCGCTACGCAAACGACACTAATTCGTTCTATCGTTTCAGACACCCCTATGGCGGTGGACGACTTCGAGGAAATGCAAGAGCCTCGCGACCTCGCGTCGGACCCCGACTCCCGGTCCAGCCACGACAAGTAACATCTCCACGCTGCCCTGTAATAATTATAATTTTAAATTAATTGACGTGTATTGTTATTTCAAAACACATCTGAAACATGTTCCCAATTTAACAGTGAACAACGCCCTCTATTGACGTAAATAAAAATGTTTTTTCCCGGAACCGGCATCGAGTATTACTCGATGTTAACTGGATACCTTTTATTTCGCCTCATAAACCTCAAATGCTTTGATTTATCCAGCATAAAAGTGAAACTGTTGAATCAATCACTTTTGGAAAAAATATATAGTGAAGAGATTGAGGATATCCTCAATCCCTTGTGTATAAACACTGATTAGTATACGGTGTGAAAAAACAAACCTCAAAACTTTACTAGAAAATCACTGCATTCAATACAGACTATACATATACCAATGATTTTTTTTATATCAACTGAACCAAATAGAACACGTACACTATACTATATTCATTTTTCAAATGGCGTTAATTTCGTAAAAAAAGTGAAATAAAGCCAATCCCTGCTGCTCAACCTAAGCCACAAAATGAACCGTATTAGTCATTAACTTACAAATAAATGAACGACGGGTCTAACACAAAAACCACGAAAAAAATGTCCCAAGTCAACCTATTTAAACGTAGTGACATGTAAAGGAATATGAAAAAACTAAAACGTTGAATTTTAATTGTAATGTCATCGCAGTACTGTCTAGTTTTGCTTGCTTCGCTGTCAGTCGAACAAACGAAGACTGAAGCGTGAATGACGCTCTGTATACGATTTTAACGCCCTATAAGTTCGGACACTTTAGCGCGGACCCGACGTCCATATAATTGTAAGTCAATGGTACAGAAAAAAAATGAATTTAAGCTGAGGTAGTAGACTCTTAACCATAGATGGTAGGACACTAAGCTATTACAAAACTCTTGGCTTAATTCATGGCTCAATTCAGGCGTTACAAATCGGTAATAAAATTAGCACCTGTGGAACATGCACGGGCCGAGAAATATTTCAAAATGAAATCCAACCACAGAAAATAATTTTATTGCATTTTTGAAGCATTTATGCCGTTTGTAAAAAGAAAAAAATACAAAAAAAATCATTCTCCCAAAACACTTGCAATCCTAAAATTTTGAATAAAGGGCGACTTATAAAGCAACAATATCAACTATATTAAAGAAAACTTGAAGTTTATCACGTTTCACATGAAATAACAAAATGTGAACATATTATTAATTAACCCTAAATACTAACTCTTCGAGATCTTTTTCGTCGATTCGTCGTCAAAATCCTCAAGAAAACAATCAAAGTGTGGGCGGCAAGTACCAGTCGTAGGGCGAGATGGGTACCTACCACAATTGATCATTATCATCGTATGAGATTTGCCTCCACTTCCTTGGTCGATGTCATGACGGTGCGTCAGCCGAACGACTTCGCCTTTCTGATCGTGACCGTTCCCGAACAGAAGTATGACGGTGTGACCTCCGTGCATCGTCATCCCACCTTTTTATTTTTTCTTATTTTATTCTCACACCGTCATAATAGTCCCTGTTCGGGCGCCAGTGTAAGGGTGCTGCTGGTGCTGGTGGCGTTATGTCCTGTTGGATGGAATGTAGTAGTAGCCTCCGCAGCCTCCATACATCTTACTTAGTAAGTTTAGTAGTTCAATAGTTTGAAGTCCAGTTTTATAGGTTTAACAATAATATTATGATCATTTAAAATGTAAACGGTGTAAATATAACTAGTAAAAGGTTTAAAGATAGGACGTGATGCGTTCGCTACCGCGATCGGACAGGGAGTGACGATGAAACGAAACAAAATTAGAATGTGAGGCAAAGAATGGAACAATTCAAAATTTGAATTTAAATACGAGTGTGAGAATAAAATGCACTGCGACTGGCATCTCGGCACTAGCCCGGAGAGCAAGTAGAGGATAAGCTAGATATCCTCCGGTCCTTCCAGCCGCTTAGGTTTTTGGGAACTGGAGAGACGTCGTTTTTCGGCGTCGGGAAGTGAGCGTGCTTTACAGCTCCACCACCAATGAGGAGATTTGGTAGTGGACTCAGAGTCGACGGCTTAGCAGTGGCAACCGCTAGTTGTGCAATGCGCAACGGGAAGTGAGCTCCGGTACCTATCTGGAAAATGGGGAGGCCACTGTACGTGCATCCAGGGCGGCTCATCCGAAGCCTCTCGAAGAACCGGATGAAGTCAAGTCACAGGGGTCTATGATAACCCTGTACACTGGCTGATATGGGGTCAGAACCTGAACTTATAAGGTTTCTGTGCGCGCACAGGTTATAATGCCCTCAGGGTCAAAAAGTAACGTAGAAAAATATGGGGTTGGTCTGGGCTGGCGAGAGTTGCCGCTGATCGACTTTCTGGATACAGATACGACTTGATTAGATATACGGTAGCGAATAGTTGACCTCCTACCACAACTGCGATGACTACCACGACGACTGCTTGGAGACGATATGAGAGCATTAAATCCAGGTTTAGGTTCGATTTTTTCTGAGCTGATAGAGGAGCTAGAACGTGACAATGAAGAGTCACTATCACTTTCCATCTCCTGTTCTCAATGTTCAAGGTCAGATTCACCTAACTCCGATTTGTCAACGTTTCCGATGATTTGTGCAACCAAATCGCATATTAAAGTCTCTAAAAACAAAAAAAAAACTAATGTAGTCATTTCCATCCTGATAAGCACGATCGTGTTTTATGACTTTATGACTGAATATAAATAAAAATTTCTAATAATTCACTGTTTAATTGTTTTTTAAATAAAATATAACATATACTTAATAAGAAAATACACCATTTGGTCAGAAAACACGAAATGATGAAATTAAAAAAAAATCTTGCTTTTCGACCTCCCGTCTGTCGAAAAGCGTTTTTTTTTTGCACGATTTACACGTCACGTACACGCCCACACTTGTCACTTTCGGCACAGTGTGTAACTATAGAACACGACCGCACTGCTTTATCAGCGAATATTAATCAAAAGCACAAACGATCAGTGTTGATCCGACGCGGCTAAGTTGAATACCCAATTTTTTTCAAAGTTGAACGCACGATCGTATCATTCTGTGCTGTAAGGGCTAATTTAGAGTGCCGTAAAAGCCTATGTTTTTGGCAATGTTTGTCAAGAAGCGCCATCTAATTGACTTTGTCCTCGTAATATCAAGTCCGATGCTTGCGAGTACAATTAGGGCTCGTTGGACGAGGTTGACACGTTATAAATCACAGAGCTAATTTGTGCCGCAGAGTACATGAATAACGGAAGCATGGTACCTACTACACAGCTAATAGAATACTATACCACTACAGATACCCAAACTCTTACAATGAAATGTCGCACTCGTAACTCCGCTTATTCGGACGATTATTTTTGATTCCTGACGCTGATAATTTATTAGCAAGTAATAATATTCGAAAAGGCCAACAGATGGCTGCTATTATTGCATTTTGGTCAAGTTTTTTCTTTATAATTCAATATAAAATTTTATATATAAAACTTATAATAAAATCGCAGAGAAGCCGAGTCTGTATTTTTAATATTTTCAAATAAAAGTCAGTTCTAGAACGGTACTTAATTTTGAGAATAAATTCAAAGAAATACCATCTATACAACGAAACCAACAAAACACCATTTATAATAATAATAATAATAAAACTTTTATTTCAGGCTTAAGCCCATAGAAATAGTTACAAGTTATCTTAGAACTAGTGTTAGTAGGTTTGACAAAACTAAAATAAAACTATAAATTACTGCCTGGTGTGAAG